GCTTGGCCATGTCGTTCGAATGGACACCGACGCTCCAGCTCTGAAAGCATTCAACTCGGAACCCGCTGGTGGTAGCAGAGGAAGAGGGAGGGCCCTACTGAGATGCAAAGACTAGGGGGAAAAGGTCTTGGCTTCACTTGACATTTCCAATTGGCGTCAGTTGGCACAGAAAAGAAAAGACTGGTGTGCTTTGTTGAACTTGGCCAAAATCGCTTAGGCGGTTACAGTGCCAAATAAGAAGAAGAATAATAATATTTTATACAAGTTACATATACGAAATACTAAAATATGTGTGTCAGACGAAAAGATGTTAGAAGTTAGTTATTTGGGTTGGATACTAAGCTTATTTTTGAGGTGGCTGTACAGGGTTGCCACTTGTTTAAAAGTTAAATTAAGTGCGAATTATTTAATGAGTTAAATTATTTATTAAAATATAGATATCAAGCGAAATGGGTTTGAAACGAAAGAGATCTAAGAAGTTACTTCGTTTGAAAATATTTTGAAGTAGGTACCAAAAGAAAATCTCTTAGTTTTGGCAGGGTTTATTCAAATTAATTGCACCTAATATAACACGCGTACTAGTCATATTATATTTAACAGACAAAAACTTTACCATAAAAGGCAATGCAATACTTAATTATTAATTTTACCTTCTGCTTAAACCACAGGTATGTATTTATGTTTTGAAGAACTTAAACCACACATGTACATACATATAAATATTTAAGCTGCTTAGTAATATGATACACAAAGCACAACCTAAAGAGCCAAAAAAAAGCCACACTATCAGGTTCCGAATGACAAAAGTCGGAATTTCCGGCAACGCCAGCTGGTAAAAACATAAACCAGATTTCAAAAATCACTTTAGCTCGTGTTTGTAGCTAAAAAATTGCCATGCAAATTTAGCTCGTTAATTTCTGCTTCCTTCTTTGCTTTTGTACGTATACTAATGTTATGCCGTTATTTATTGAGAACCCAAAAAGCCATCGAATCAGCAAAAAAAAGAAAACGAGGCACATAAAACTGTAAATTCCTTAAGCTGAAATTGATATCCGTCCATTGGCGCATGCGACTGTAGCCATGGCACCTCCGCTACCGGTCACACTTTCATAATTTATTTGTCCATACACGAGTAAAAACATATACATATGTATATGAATATATGCTTATTTTTTGTAGAGCTTGCGGACGTGGGCATGCTTAGTACATACATACATACATACAAACATATGTACATACCACCGATGCACAGAGGTCCGAAACGATAATAGGCACATTTGTGATTTTGGTGAAGTGTCAAATGCAAAATTTTTTTCTTTCGATTCTGTAACACATTAGTTGATGCAAAAGAATGACCTCTTCTGTTGTAAAAAAAAACATATTATATGGGGTAAATACGCTATAGTTAGTAAACAAGTTCTATTCACTTGCTGCTGACGTAAAAATTGCAACAAGCTATTGAAGTACCTCGACAATTCCACATAATATTTTCCAATGGAAGCATCAAATTCAGGAAG